TGGATTCGAACAGCCCACATTCTGTGTGTGAGACAGATGTGACAACCAGTACACCACGACTTCGTAGATGAAGACCGATGAGTGTACTACTGCGGTAAAAATCTAACGCACCGAGAAGAGAAATGCTCTTCCGGAACTAATGAAAAGAAACCGAAGCACTGATCTCGGGCGGACTCGAACCGCTGACCTTCTGTTTGTAAGACAAATGTGATAACCACTACACCGCGAGATCGCTAATGTAGATCGATGAGAGTATTACTATGGTAGAAAAGTAACGCACCGAGAAGAGAAATGCCATTGCGTTCCCAATGAAGAGAAACCGGAACACTGATCTCGGGCGAAATCGAACCGCCGACCTTCTGTGTGTAAGGGAGATTTGATAACCACTACACCGCGAGATCGCCAATGTAGATCGATGTATTACTTTGACAGATATGTAACCCACCGAGAACACAAATGCTATGCCGGACCCATTGAAGAGAAACCGAAACACTGATCTCGAGCGGACTCAAACCGCCGACCTGTGTGTTAGACAGGTGTGGTAACCTCTACAAGACGAGACCGATGCGAGTACTGCTGTGATAGAAATGTAACGCTCCAAGAAGAAAAGTGCTATTCCACTCTCAATGAAGAGGAATAAAGCACTGATAAAAACATAGACGATGATCAGTGATCTCATTGAAGCGAGGAAAGAAACATTGGACTTGGCATAAATAGGACGAAGATCCATCCCATGAAGAATCTGTGGTGCGAGAGTGAAACGAAGAAATTGAACTGGATGGTTCTCTGATTTCACAGACCACCTCGTACACATACTTTGGCATTCAGTGAACGTGTAGAACGACATGAACGGGAAATTAGACAGAAAAAGAGGAGCAGCCTGGGCCACATTCGGGCCAGAGACTCAGTGAGCCCCCAAATCACTTAATGGGCCAAAATTCTGTGGTCACCTTTTCAACTCGACAGTTCTAGAGCTCTGCTTTGCAGCAGAAACGTGAGCTGATTGTTCAACCACGTCAAAAACCCTACGCGCCACCCACAGAGCGCTTGATTGTCTTTCGAAACTTGACCGTTATTTAGGAAGTCCAAGCGGAATGCGCAGATATTCAAATCTATTCCATCTTCGATGGTTGAAAACCTGTCCCTAGCTAGAGCAAGCAGAACCCAGTGGACCACTCTTGCACGCGATAGGGAAAGATGGAAGATTTACGAGCACCCGATCAGGTCACTCGACGATCGAGGGAGAACAGTTGACAGGTGACAGGTGAACCCATCTTCCCGATCCAGCAGAATATATAGTGGACTCTAAGAGAATGTAAGCGTCCTCTTGGACGACTACCCAAAGATGGGTGGACGTGTTCATGTCTAATGCCAACCATCGCAGATGGCAACGATTTCGCGATTACGGAATCGGCATGACAGACGTCACGATGTTCGAAAGACGCAACCATCATGGTCGACGATTACGCGTGAGAGAAAAGAATGGAAATTATGCTGATGCCACACAATCAGTGAAGACGTGACATCCAAGTACGCTGGTAAGTTGAAGAACTAACAGTCAAACAAATCACTCCTCTAGGTATTCATAGGACATGAGGGCATAATAGAAGAAATTCAGAAGTAAGAGTTACTATCCTCGCACAAGAATCCAAAATATCTATGCGTAGACGCCTTGATGTACTCGGATACTTGGCTCATCTTCACTAGTGCGACCCACAGCATAATTTCCACTTTTTCGGAATTTTGCTCGTTTAGCTGGTTACTCTGAAAGTTGTGGAAAAAGCAGAATACCCAATGATGCGATTTTTCTAACCTCGGATAAAAAAACCATCATGTCTTGACGGGAGTTGATGTTTTTAAAAACAAAAACAACCACGTTTGACGGGATTAAAAATTGTCATTTGATTAAAAAACTATTTTAACACAATGTTTCAGCTTTTATTCACTGCTTATTCTTTCTCCATTGCACGGTACAATATTAAACGCAACTACCAAGGATGCTCAGACGTGAGCAAAACTCGAAACCTCAGGTGCGCTTCGAAGCCGCGATTACCCATACCAGAGCCCACGTGCTCTCCACCAAACCAGCCTAGACAGAATCTAATTTGGACGCAATTCTTTTACAACGCTATTTTAAAAAAAAAAACAAGAAACAAACACAACAAAGAAGCAACAATGAGTGACAAATACGAGCAAACAGACAGCAGAAGGAAAGAAATATATCAAAGACATCAACGTCTGTTTTTAGCCCTCATCAGCTTTTTCTTCTTGGCAGCCTTATTCATTTTACTGAGTTTGTTCCTCATGCTGAAAAAGATTGTTTCGCAAATTTCATCATTACTGCATAATTGCTTTCCTAAAAGTTTGGCGATTCGCAATGTATCATGATGAAAATGATGAACAATATCATCATGTTCTTTACAGCATCAACATCCGTGACATTTCTCTTCCTCAAAAGATGATGCCAGCATACTTTTGTGAGTCGTCCCCTTCTCATTCAAGCCCTCACTTTTGTATCAAGTAATTTCTCTTTGTGCTACTACATAACCTGCGCCTTTCCTGCGATGCATGCAGTTTCTCGAATAGAAAGCTAGAAGATTAATAGATAGCTCTTTTAAACAAGGCCTCAGTAGTACACTTATTTGACAAGAATGTTTAACAAGTCGCCCGTTATATTGTACTCACATGTGAATATCAAATCACTGCATGGGACCCACCACTCAAAGAATCCGCTTGTTTAGACCACATCTATCCAGCAATTTACGACTGCAACAGGCACCACTTTGGAACGAACTTATTGTATTTAGTTAGACATTACATATTAGCGGTTGTAATGGTTCCCAAGAACTTTCAACAATTATTCATTAACACAGCGCTTAAGTACGTGAGGACTTGACAGACATGGGAACAACATCTTCCTGGTCGCCTTGAATTCGCACAAATTGTGTAAAATACTATTCCCATTTTAATTCCGCTTGGAATCCAAACATTTAAAAGGTTTAAAACTCGAAAAACTCCGGCGTATGTCCGCAACGTTGCATTCGCATAAGATATCGTGTCCCGCTGAACAAACTTGTTCGATGGCTTCATTGCTTGAAGTGGGACCTTGATAACCAAAAAGAAAGAAACCGAAAAAAAGCAATCTGTGGGATAAAAGACGTTAGGGAATCTTCATGATAAAGTAAGAACAATTACAAGTATTCGAAGAAAAAAACTGTTAATGAGTTTATTTTCTCTACTAACACTGCAGAAAGATGTTCAAGCCGATTTTTCTTCGAGTTCTAGCCTAGCCTCACCAAACAATTTCCGGCCCTTCACCACAGAAGCAGTTATCGGACTTTGTCAATCCGAATGAACTTTTTCAAGAAAAGTGTTATACACATTTTTGAGACCGGTAAGATAGGCCTGGTTAGCTCAAGGAGATATCGAACCAAACACTAGTTTATTATTGCGACGACACCTTTAACAATCGCGCTTCATATGCACCTTAAAAACAAAACAAAAACCGTTGCGTCAGCACTTTTCCCTGGGGTAATATATGTCTAATAGCCCCAGTTACACGATGAAACAGTTTATTTGTACTCAACTGTAAATTTAACAAACCCCAAACCCGACTTTCTTTTAACCTCAGCACTGACCAATAATATACTTTATAGGTAAACACGTGGTTGTTAACAGCAAGATTTATTGAATACAACATTGGCTGACGTTTCGGCGATTTAGCCTTATTCTAGACCCTGGAAAAGCCAAATTAACACGCAAACCATTCAGTCAAATACTATCATAACCTCAGTAGTCTAAACTTAATAGTTTATCGGCATATTAAACAGCTTCTCTTAAAACTCACCGTTTTCAGGATCGACTTTATCTTAACCTCGGCATTGGAATATGAATGTGTCGTTTTGTTGTTCAGCAATCGCAAGGTTTTTAAACAGCATACATTTACTTCCATAAAAACACAATACAATACAACGCTAGCTGACGTTTCGGCAGTATCGCCTTCTTCAGAGTCTGGAAGGGTATACTGATATACAATCTACTAGGCCAAACGCTTCAATAACACTTACAAAAAGACGAAAGACTCTTTGGTAATTACATGGTCAACAACTTCTCGAAAAAACCCACCGCTTTTTCGTGACTTCCAATGAGGAAGCTTAGAACAGCTGATTATAGTCGCATGTGGTTGACGACTGCACCATCCCACATCAAAAATCGATGCGAACGTACGGGATCAGGTCGCGTATGACCTCCGGGCATTCATCCCTGCTATTCATTGTAGGGTTTACATATGACAAAAGAATGCACGACATTGCTCGTCGAACGGCGTTCGACGGAATCTGTAGCGATAGTTGAAATACCACCGACTACTCTACGTCGTCAGTTAGTTCATAACCGCCTGTATCACCGTCTGTGTGAAACAACAAATTGCGTAATTTGCCCTTACGGCAGGGACGGTGATTGCATGAGTTCAGATCTCTTGTGACAATTGCGGAGATGAATATATTGGCGAAACGGGCAGATCTTTGTGTATCCGTATAAAAGAACACCTAGATGGCAAACGAAAACTAAGACGAAGCACCCCACTAGGCACGCATAGAATACAAAAGCATAGCGGAGACGATTTTGAAGTAAAAGTCAATATCCTTGCACAGGAGTCCAAAACACCAGCACGTAAACTTCTCGAGGCTTTTTGGATAAATGCCAAAAACCCTACAATGAATAGCAGGGATGAATGCCCGGAGGTCATACGCGACCTGATCCCGTACGTTCGCATCGATTTTTGATGTGGGATGGTGCAGTCGTCAACCACATGCGACTATAATCAGCTGTTCTAAACTTCCTCATTGGAAGTCACGAAAAAGCGGTGGGTTTTTTCGAGAAGTTGTTGATCATGTAATTACCAAAGAGTCTTTCGTCTTTTTGTAAGCGTTATTGAAGCGTTTGGCCTAGTAGATTGCATATCAGTATACCCTTCCAGGCTCTGAAGAAGGCGATACTGCCGGAACGTCAGCTAGCGTTGTATTGTATTGTGTTTTTTATGGAAGTAAATGTATGCTGTTTAAAAACCTCGCGATTGCTGAACAAGAAAACGACACACTCACCGTTTTGTTATTCCTAAGACCACCAGTNTTGGATAAATGCCAAAAACCCTACAATGAATAGCAGGGATGAATGCCCGGAGGTCATACGCGACCTGATCCCGTACGTTCGCATCGATTTTTGATGTGGGATGGTGCAGTCGTCAACCACATGCGACTATAATCAGCTGTTCTAAACTTCCTCATTGGAAGTCACGAAAAAGCGGTGGGTTTTTTCGAGAAGTTGTTGATCATGTAATTACCAAAGAGTCTTTCGTCTTTTTGTAAGCGTTATTGAAGCGTTTGGCCTAGTAGATTGCATATCAGTATACCCTTCCAGGCTCTGAAGAAGGCGATACTGCCGGAACGTCAGCTAGCGTTGTATTGTATTGTGTTTTTTATGGAAGTAAATGTATGCTGTTTAAAAACCTCGCGATTGCTGAACAAGAAAACGACACACTCACCGTTTTGTTATTCCTAAGACCACCAGTTACTGGATGCCAGCATCACAGAGTCCTACATGGATGGGAAATGTGCCTGGCTCGGACCAAAAACGGATCTGAGATATGGCGCGCGATCAGATGTATCACAAGGTTCAATTTTGTTCTTTTTTGATGTCTATTTAAAACGCTTCGGGGCTTTTCTGCTATGAAGCTTTACACACTTGTGCGAGGATTACGACTGCTACTTCAAAATCTCCGTTATCTCTCAGACGTCAGATAGTTCGTAACCACTTGCATGACAGTCTATCCGAAACTCGCAATAGCATAATTTTCCTTAACGAGATAGGTGACTGCAAGAGTTCGTGTACTGTGTGCCTAATCTTTTGTTAAGCGTGCAGGGACGACTACGTGGGAAACACGGATAGTATTCTATTTCTGTATAAAAGAGCACCTAAACTGCAAGCCTAAAGTTAAATGAAAAACTCTACCAGGCTCGCTTAAGAACCACAGACATAGCGGAGAAGATTTTGAAGTTGGAGTCATTATCCTCACTCACACGGGAGTCTAAAACTTCAGCGTTTAAAATCTTGAAGCATTTTGAATAAAATCCAAAATCCAAAAATGAACCACAAGGAGGAGCGCCCTGTGATTACGTGTGATCTCGCGCCACACCTCAGCTCGATTTTTTGATCCGTGCCAGACACATTTCTACCCAATGTAAAACTCCGTACAGCTGGTCTCCAAAAATTACTACAGGGCGTAAGAATAAGAAAACGGTAAGTTCAACTTCTTAATTACTGCCTATTATTTTTTCACGCCAAGGTATTATGTTAAATACAACCATTGTGATGCTGAGATATTCGCAAAACTTAGACGCCAGGCCAGATTTAAACCTACGAGTACCGTTTCCGGCAGCTCACATGTTACCCACTGCACAAATGAGACCCTTGCTTTGTTTTTCTCTAAGCTAGTTCTTTAACTTAACGGTGCCATCAACGACCTGACCTGGGGTCCAAGTTTTACAAATGTCTCAGTATCTTAGTGGTTGTATTTCAGATAAAACGGTAAATGTTTAAGACAAGTTGTTCACAATGCAAATAGACTTTTATATATCAAGTTTTGTCTGCTGAGGTTACGAGTGTTTGACTAAATGGATTGCGTATCAATTTGGCTTTTCCAGGCTCTGAACAAGACAAAACCGTGGAAATGCTAGCCAGTGTTGTGTTCAATAAATCAGTAACCTCGTGTTTACAAATCAAGAGAACAATGCAACTCTAACATCTACCTCAAATTTTGCCACATTGCAATTTTTGCCATAACAATTCAGTTTTTTACATCTATCCCAAAGTCAATCTAATAATCGCAGGTATCACTGCTTTCTCATGCGCTTGTGAGCATATATTGTAAGTAAAAGTTGTCATATTAGTTCTCCCAAATTTAGGCCGCTTGGGATGCCGCTGCGACTTTACCAGCTTCTCCGTACTTAACCTACTCATCGTTATCATAACGAGGTCACTTTTATGGTCAGGAGGATGAGAATCATTATTTTTACTGTTTTCGACGATTGACATCTACCGGGAATCCGACAAACTCTGGTGTGGATGATGGAAATACTCATGGGTAGTTTGTCGATCTTATCCTTGTTGGAGGCAACGGTTCACCACCTCGCATGTGTTTCGCAGAAAGATGAGTGCGCATTTTTGGCCGCATTGGCGGAAAGGATACAACCTTCATGAATGCAATAGCACCCACACACACATGTGAATGTTTTTGCTCAAAAACAAAAAAAGCACATGTTAATCTGTTGCTGTATGGACAAGAATTCCATCCCCTAAACAGTCAAAAGGTCATTGTTGTGAAGATGATTTTGACTTCATGCGTTGAGTTAAATGCATACCATGAGCAGCGAGAAACTAGACCTTGCCCCATTAAACAGTTATGGAGAAGAGGCGCCCTCGAAAATGTGTGAAGACGAAACGATAAGGTTCAAGATTACAAGACCAAAATTGTTTTATATACATTCTAAACCCACAATAAAACGTTAAAAATTTATAGAATAGCAGCCCTACCACTCAATGTAGGAACATAGATAGAACTTAAGGGGATCACCTGATTTATGGCCTATTGGCCTACAATCTACTCAATTCTTCTATTCCCTTCAAAGCCTCCAAAACCACACGAAAGTTTTATAGCAGGTTCTGACATTTACATTAAACTGAACTTGTTATACTTACGTTCCACTAATCCATGGAGGATAAGTGCCATCTTGCTTCTTCATAGTATTTACGTTAATTGTCGCCCTTCTAACAGGATCTGGTGAACTGCTGTCCATCTACAAAGAATAATAACTCCTAAAGAATTTGTAACATTGTGTACTGTTGAATAGATCCACCGACCGCTTCAAGTTCCTCATTGCCAGTTTTTACACTTGCCGCCTGAGCTTCTCTAGCTGAAAATCTTACTTGTGTTGTGGATAACCTCTGCTATAAAGAAAAGATATTGCACCTTTACAAATACCAGCATGGATGTATATTTTAGCTACGATTTAAAAATACAATATTTCTGCCTTATCGTCACAGGGATTTCACCGGAATTTCCGAAAGCTCTAACCTCCCAAATATGCCAACAAGATAAAACGATAAAAAGAATGAAGCTCTTGGCGTTGATCTTTCTCTAAGGGATGCGCCACGCATTCGGCTTCATTAAGTATCGTTGGAGATGATTGTATGCATATCTGGCCTTTGCAATGACTCGCGGTGGTCACAACCGATGCATCGAGCCAGTGCTGCTATCCTCCCAGGCAAGTCTGGTCCAATTTGCCGACTCCGCAAGGATGGAGGACTTGACGGGCCTGGGGCGTTTGGATCGATCCCACGTGTACTTCAGGGCGATTCCGACCACTCCTCCGCTACGCTAGCCCACCGACAAGATATTAGGTGATTATATGCACAGTTCCATAACAACTATATTATCACTCGCCCGTGAAACAGGAGCATCATCCCCGAATCCGCTTAGGTGTACGGTAGTGCCAGGAGTGACACATTTTTCAATGTCTGGACAAAATCCTAGTATGTTAAATGTCGTAATGGTACCTACTTCATAATTTGTAGAAGAATAATAAGTGTTTAACACGGACTATCCAGAGATTTTTACGAAGGAAAGTGAATTATGTGAGGAACTAACCAGCTTGTTCCTGTTCATAAACATCCCTTCTAGACACGGCTTCCTGAAGCCAGACAGCTTCTTTATGGGCTTTTTTCGCCCGTGCCAATGCTCGGATCTTGCGCTTGAACTTTGAGCGTAAACTTTTGGCCATTAACTGAACGGCTATGAGAGAGTCACGTTTCTATTCAACCAGACTATCCAAGTTTAACACAAAGCGCTAGATAAAGCATACCAACACAAAAGAGAAAGGACCATCGCTTAGATGGATATGTGAAATGGCAACAGTGGAAACCGCATCCACAACAGTAAAAAACACATGAGATGGTCCTTTAGTGGAGAAAGGATGACATACCTCACAACGACATCTGTCGCTCCATCTTATTGCTCCACAGCACACTAGAATGGTATAAGGATAAAGATTAAAGCTTAAAGCTCTCGGCGTTGATAAATTCCTGAAGGATGCGCCATGCATCCGACTTCATTAGCAATCGTTGGAGGTGATTGAATACATATCTGGCCTTTACATTGACTCGCGGTGGCTTACCGATGTATCGAGCCAGTGCTGCTATCCTCCCAGACAAGTCTGGCACCAATTTACCGGCCCCGGAGAGATAGAAGGCTTGGTGAGCTTGCGGAAGCGGGGGAACTGATCCCATGTGTTGCAGGACGCTTCCGACCACTACGCTACACGCGCCCCCGAAAACGTACATACAAGACATTGGCACGGGATGTTTATTGGCATCAAAATATTGACAAACAAGCTTCCATCACGTGATACTGCATTTGAATTTCAAACAGCAGTACTGTCCCAGAGCTGAGGAAAACATATCTAGGCTACTATGTCGAGTCAGAACTATACGGGTCAGAAGCGCAGAACAAGAAGTACTACTGAGAGAGGCAGTAAAATGCTGGACTCACAGACGACATCACACGAACTACCGAACAAACAAATTACGAACGGGTTAAACGAGAAGGACCTCGAAAGTGTATTATGATTTTTTATCCACAGGCGATCCAAATACCAACTAAAATTCATCCCTACGTTTTCAAAGGTTCCAACAACCACACAGAGACAGAAACTAGTCAGAATCACAAGCACCTCATGCTACGAGTACACCCTCCCTTCAGAAAGACTTGAAGAAGTCAGGTCCTTACATTCACATGGCGAAAATCGAACCGAAAACCTACGACGTTTCGGATTCCCCCGGACGTAGAGTACATAGCAGTTACGCACAGTAGATTTTTCATACTTTCACGATAATCTGCATGGGACCACGTTTTCAAGTCCCGGCATTGCACTATGTTGTGTTGACCCTACGAAAGTTCCTAATTCTTGGTGGACCTAGGCGTTGTGAGTCACCGTGTTTCTGCTACTTTTGTGTCAAAAGAACTTCGACCAAACTATGCACCTGGTTTGAAGACTTTTTAAACGTGCTGAAGTATATGTGTAGGCGTGTACGTGTGTGTATGAATATACATTTGTAGGTGTATGTGCATAAACATGCTCTCACGTATGGGTTATGTATTGCTTCCATCGTCAGTACTCGTTATGCTATCTGTGAACCGTGACAGTTTCTTCACCTTTTCAGAGTATATTTATGACAAATGCTATCATATTGATTTCATCCTCTGTCAAGCTGGAGACCGTGGAAGACCGCAAGAACTGCAACTTCTAAAGCCCGAAACTGGGAGATACAGACTAGTATTCGAGGTCGAAAAAAGTAGTAGGAGTAGGCAGGAGATGACCGCCATTAATAGTACAGTGAACGGGAATCCATTCGCTGCCGCTGGTTCGCTTAACGATCCCACTAAACAAGCTCAGGTACTGTTGTTACTTTAGTGTGACCTTCTTAGTTCTTTTTCGTCCTTTGTATAGCACTATGCACTTGTTTATTTCCTTTGTCACTTACACAGTTTGTGTGGGCGGTGAGCGCCTAAGTAGACCCGTTTATTAATACTAGATACTTAAGTACTTGGATGACCCATCCTCACTGCTTATGCGGGCCCCAGCGTTATCTCCATTTATTGAAGTTTTGCTGGTTTAGCAGTTGTGGTTGCCTGGAGTCCCGAGATTAGCCAGGCCAAAGTCTGCTTCAGGTCCTCACCACCACAGACACTCGCCCTTATGGATCAAAGGGCGATGTGCCGCCATGCGACTAATTTGATACCAGGACGGTGACAGATCCTTCTATTGGTTTACTCTTGGTTGGACTTTCTATTGAAAGCGCCGGAGTCCTTCTCAACTTGGGAAACTCTGCCAGGAAGATGAGTACCCTCGCTGGACTTCGCAGCCCGACACGCAACAACACCTCCCAGCCACGACGAGGTGGAAAACCTTTCGAAGGTGAATGAATACCAGTACTGCAAATCCTTCCTGCATGTTTTCCACATCTTTGTGATCGTCAACGTCTAGCTATGAATGAAGTTGTTTTGTATAATTGCTGTAAATGAATTTGAGCCGATTATTATGTCACATCACATCGCATATCACACGTAGTCCTGTTGATCGTCGAGTGACTCGAGCGGGCGCCAGTAAATCTTCCATTTTTCCCCGTCGCGTGCAAGATTAATCCGTTGGGTTCTGCTCTCTCTAGGGACTCGTCGAGCATCATATCTTCTAGGCTTTTCGTGAAGAACTCTGATCATCGGGTCGGTCGTCTTCTTGCAGGTCGTTTGACAACCGAAGGGATCTAGTCACTATCGGCTCTTGTCCATCGATTGCCTTTCATGCACATTACGTGTCCAGCCCACCTTATCTTCCACTGTTTGGCGTACAGAACGGCATCTTTGATTTTTGATCATTGACGCAGGTCAGAGCTTCGGATCCCATCACTCGCTTAGTGAAACGGGATACCCCTAGCATCGCTCTTTCGACTGCGCGTTCTATAACGCTGACATCCTACTTACGCAACGACCAGGTTTCTGACTCATGCGTTACGGCAGGAAATACCATTGAGTCGAAAAGGCGGGCACGGAGTTGGGTGTTCTTTGTTCTCTTCACTACATCATCGATGCTCTTGAAATCTCCGCAAGCCGCTCGTTTCCTTCTGCTCAGCTCTGGTGCTAGGTCGTTCATCATATTTATTTCCCGACCTACATAGAAATAAATTGAGCATTTGGAGATATTCGTTCCGTTGAGCGTGGATGGGGCATGCGAAACCAATCCTTCCACATGTTTTATCAAAGTCGTCAAGCATACGTTCCGCTTGGCTTATGTTTGCTGTTGTAAAGACGATGTCATCAGCAAAGCGAATATGGTGTAACTGCCGACCGTCTATTTGCACTCCCATAGTGTCCCATTTGAATGTTCGCATGACGTTCTGGAGTGTAGCGGTAAATAATTTTGGCGAGATGGTATCGCCTTGCCTAACTCCTCTTTTGACGTTAATGTCGTTGTAGAATGGTGATATCTTGGTTGTGAAATTTTTGTACAGCTCACGAAGATTCTTTATGTACTGAGTAGGGACCCGTTGACTATCAAAGGCTTCCATGATTGCTTCTATCTCAATTGAATCAAAGGCCTTCTGTAAATCGATGAAAGTGAGTTAGGACGGTCTTTTGTACTCTCTTGATACTTCAATGAGCCTTGTTATCCTGTGGATGTGATCCATTGTACTAAATCCTTTTCGAAACTCTGATTGCTCACATAACTGTAC